CCTGCGCTGGTGGCCGCATGCTTGTAGTCCCAGCTTACTCCGGGAGGCCTGAGGCAGGAGGGATCGCTTGAGCCAGGAGCTTTTGCAGGTTGCCGTGAGCTAGGCTGAACGCCCACGGCACTCAACTCTAGCTGGGCGAGTGAGATTGCTTGTCCCCCCCCCCCCCTCAAAAAAAAAAAAAAATAAAAAAAAAAGCAGAGGCTGAAATTTAGCAGCTTGTTTTATTAATAACGGGCCGAAAGCAGCAAAGGTGTGCAAACACCCGGAAGGCGAGCACCCCACACACGGCAGCGGCACAGGGCGGAGCGTGGTGCGCCGCTGCAGCGTAGATTGGGCCCCTCCGTGTGCGCATCTCGTGGGCGGTGACTCTGACCCTCACCTCCGTGTCCCCCACACCCCGCTGCACAACCATTAGCTGTCCCCTCTGGGGAGCTGGAGCCTTGCCCAGGCAGTGGAGAAAGAGGCACGGCTCTCACTCGGTTGACGACCCCACACACGTGCACGGGGATGTTTCAGTGCACGCCGTCTACAGGAGGGGCGTTGAGGGGCCGAGTTTGACCGGCACCCCGCCATCTGAAGCCCCATATGTCCTTTTTAGGATACCTTTTAGAAGGCCGGGCGCGGTGGCTCACACCTGTAATCCTAGCGCTCTAGGAGGCCGAGGCAGGTGGATTGCTCAAGGTCAGGAGTTCGAGACCAGCCTGAGCAAGAGCGAGACCCCGTCTCTACTATAAATAGAAAGAAATTAATCGACCAACTAATATATATAGAAAAAACCAGCCAGGCATGGTGGCGCATGCCTGTAGTCCCAGCTACCTGGGAGGCTGAGGCAGGAGGATCGCTTGAGCCTAAGTGTTTGAGGTTGCAGCAAGCTATGATCATGCCACTGCACTCCAGCCTGGGTGACAGAGCAAGACCCTATGTCAAAAAATAAAATAAAGAGCTCTTTGAATATTGCTGGGTTCTTAGACCTAAAAGTTTGAAAACCAATTGCCTTGTATATACTTGGTAAATAATATGTTATGCATTGTGGAGTGGTATGTTCTGTGTTATTTCAGTTAGGTTGATTAATAATTGGGTGGCTCAGATCGCCTACATCCTTCCTAATATTTGTGTCTTCTCCTATCGATTACTGACAGAGGAGTGTTCAGAGGTCCCCACGTTGGACTTTGTAAATTTCTCTGCTTAGTTCCGTCTCTGCTCAGTATGTTTTGATGCCTTGTTCCTAGGAGCATATATAATTAGGATTATTACATCTTCTTGATGTATTCACCTTTTTATCGTTATTAAGTGGCCTTCTTTATGTCCAGTAACACTCCTTGTCTTATGCCAGTTTTTTTTTATGCTAATATAACCACAACAGCCGTGGCAGCCTTCTCATCACTGCTGGTGGGGCATGGTCTGCGCTGCGTATCTTTTCCTTTCAGCCTTGAGGTCTCTGCCAGCGGTCGAGAGGGTATATGCGTCGTGTTGTTTGTTTGTGTGTTTTTTGGTGTGGTGTTTTGTGTTGGTTGAGACGGAGTTGCGTCACTCTGTTGCCTGGGCTA